ATAAGACGAAACCATACTGAATTATTTCTGGTGGTAAATTAAGTATAATAAGACGAAACCATACTGAATTATTTCTGGTGGTAAATTAAGTATAATAAGACGAAACCATACTGAATCATCTCTCGTGGTAAAAGGAGTAGAATAAGACGAAACCATACTGAATGATTTCTGAGTAGAATAAGACGGAACCATGCTGAATGATCTCTGGTTGTAAAACGAGTAGAATTAGACGAAATCATACTGAATGAGCTCTGGTAGTAAAATAAGTAGAATATCATGAAACCATACTGAATGAGCTTTGGTGGTAAAACAAGTAGAATAAGACGAAACCATACTGAATGATCTCTGGTGGTAAAACTAGTAGAATAATACGAAACCATACTGAATGATCTCTGGTGGTAAAAGAAGTAGAATAAGACGATACCATACTGAATGATCTCTAGTGGTAAAACAAGTAGAATAAGATGAAACCATATTGAATGATCTCTGGTGGCAAAAGAAGTAGAATAACATGAAACCATACTGAATGATCTCTAGTGGTAAAATAAGTAGAATAAGACTACCATCTAGTAAGATCATCCATCTGACATGTCCGTTTCCTCTGTCCCAATCATAGCTTAATATTGTTGCTCATAAAAAGTATTATCTGACTGATTCAATATAAATGCACAGTAATCCGTATCGTCATGTCAAGACATCATTTTTCGATGTGGTCTTATTGTTTTTGTCTGGTTTAATGTCAATTTAAAAAATTGCCGATACTCTGTGTAGACACTGAAAAAGCAGCTGATCACACAGTGAGGCTTACAAAGCTCACGAAGCGATTGGAAACCCAAGATTTTCACCAGTATGAAGGGGCATTTAGACTAACCATTTACATGCACACTTCTTAATTTTTCCTTTTATCATTTGTATTTAATGTTTATTTATTAATTACTTATTGTATTTACATGCATACCTAGCCTAATATATTTTATGTGATCTTTTATTTTAATGAGGCACTCGTAAGTACTTGAGCTATTATTTTAATTAATATTATGAGAGCATAATCATTAATCAAATTTTAGATCTAGCAATGGTTAAACAAAAGATTTTTCTTCAACAATTCCCAGTTCATCCGTTGAGTTTCTTAGTTTTCAAGATGCATTTATAGATGGAATCATGTGTTAATTTGTTGACAGAAAGTCAATCTTGTTATATATTCTTCTCTAAGATGTTTCGTAATGCTTAAAAGAAAAGCCTGGTGAAACCCAGTAGTTAGCCTGCCCAGAATGCGAATCCTAGGATTCCTGGTTCGCGTTACGTGGCCACAAAAAAACTCTCTTCGTACATTATTACAAATTATTGAACGATACCAGAGAGTGTGTTATCTGTCTTGTTTCTGTATTAGTATCACCGGAAGCTATTTTTCATTACATTTTTTATTCTGAGTGAGAGTCACCATCTTCATCAGATCCACCGCTGTCTTTATACTATTTTAAACGAGTGTCTCTTTAATGGATGTTGCATTCTCTTCTTCCATTCCATGCATCACTTTAGTTCTTTACGGGTAATTATCGAACAAACTGCTTCATACTTACGCCACAATTTGGCATGATTATAGGAATATGATCGTTTTCTAAGACCAATGTTGTTAGAAGACCAGAAAAGTGAAGAATGCCCTTTTCTCTGATTCTAGCATTGGTGAATATGTGAATCACTCGTGTGTGACTCGTTATAGAGTAAAGTCTCTCGTGATGTCACCGGAGAACATGTGGTATATGTCATGTTTTACACTAGGACTTATTCAGTGTAACTACTTTCATCAGATGTCGCCATCTTCCACAATTTCTGCGCACTGAAGAGGAGGTCACCTTGGATATGGCGTCAGTAAGGTCAGAGGACGTCTGTCATCTTGACCAAAATATTATATATGTAAGTCATAGGTGAAACTGAAATAGTTTCGCCCAAAACTACTTCAAAGTTTATTGTTTGTTTTCTAATGCACGTTTTTAAATCTCATTATAAGGGTGTAACTATGTCAGATTATTTTGTAAAACTTTACTAAAAGTATATAAATGGAGTAAAATATCGGTATGCAGAAAACAAGACTGCTTGTTCTGTCTTTATGTGCTTTTATATGCAAATGTATGTGTGTTTATTAATAATGTATTTCTCTACATTTTTGAGACGAAAAAACAAACAAACAGTATATGCTTTATGTATCATCAGATAGAATTTATTGTAAATGTTTTATTTTTGTTTTTTGTTTCGAATAAGCAAAATATTTGAGACGAAAGAACAAACAAACATACGATCAGCTACAATTTATAATAATTTTGTTTTGAGAGGCAAGTTATGCCACAAACAAGACAGAGTTGGGCTCTTCTACTAGAAAAGCAAAAACGTGACAGAACTTGAAATTTTGTCTCCGCGCACAACCAAAATGTTTTTTACTTAACACGTGTATGTGCAGTTTAAAAATCGTTGATGGTATACTTATTTGACCAGTAGGACGACAAAAATGTTAGCATATTACAATATTTATATATTCTTGAGTGGTGAATGCAGATCTGTTTGTCGTACCGGCCTATTTTTGGGATCCAATAATTACTCTGTTTTTCAATATACAGAGATAAAGTTTTAAAGATATATGAAGTGAAAATTTTGTTTTGGCTTTTAGTTTCGTCAACAGAGAACATTCTGAACGTTCTTTTAGAAAGTCTTCTTCTCTGTAAAATCTGGCACCGCCCTCTCTGAGACTGCACCACTCCCAGAACGCCAAAGGTGACCTGAAATCATCTTGAGGAAAGGGCTAAACTGACAGAAGGACGAGCATACATTGGCACGTGACCTGCAACTGTTTCCAGCCGCCGAAGAGCAAACGAAAGCACCTGCCATGTTCAGTTCGTATTTCAATTTGTTTAAATAAGATCGCAAAAAAATATCTGAAATATGTATTTGTTTAAAGTAAACCATTTTGTCATTTACGTCATGCGATCGATTCCTTGTGAATACCTCAACAAACATTCTCATGAAAATATGAAAGATTAAGACGAAAAAAAGTTTTTTTATATCAATCATTATGAAATATTTAATAAAAAGAATTATATTTTATATAGTTTGACGATACTGATGTATTTGGTCACTTCTTTAACCATAAGTTAAACCACTTTGCTAATAAATGATACTAGTTCGTAAATAGTGCCATTAATGATGGGGGGGGGGGCGGCAAAAAATGCGCAACCCTTTCAATGGAACGACGCGCCATCTATACGTAACTGGTTTCACTACAGTTATAAAGTAGACTTGGCTGTCTGTAAAAACATTCAACATGGCGGACAACATGATTTGACTGGATCGTCTATATAAATAAGAAGATTAGTTAAACGACGTGGAAGAGGTAAGAAGATTTTGCCTAATTTGTTCATATTGGCATTACGTCATGCGTGGGTAACTTTTTGATCGTTAAAGGCTTAAAACTCCTGTTTTTAAAGGCTAAAAAAAATTATATGTTACCACTATGTCCTCTAGATTGCTCGCATTCGCACAAGCTGGTCAGCTGCTTGGCGCGCGTGAAGTGGTGCTGCCAGACGCTAGTTCATGTAATGTTAAATGCTGTTGCGCGTCTGTTCTTAGTCTGAGCGTCTACATATTAAATGAGGAAGAAAATCAGTTACCTAAATTGCTATGCATATAAAAGTATTTTCTTTTTTCTCAAAGTTTTGAATATTAATGCTAATTATATATATATATATGAAGATAATGGGTCGGAGACATTTTTGTTTTCAATAAATTATAACTTATGAAGCGTTTTAACACCCATTCCCTTGTGAAACTCCATATAGCTACTTCTGCATACCATTATATAACCCGAGGACAATGGAATTTGTTGAAATATTGTTTTTCATGTATGTCATAATCCTTTCTGGCAATATTTCTCATAAATTAGATCAATTAATAACGGTTGTTGTTTTGTTCGGACGCTGGAACAAGTGCCATAGTTGATTGAAATTTAACGTTACCACCAGTATTAGTATTGTCATAATTTCAAAATGTTTTTTTTTCTGGTGTCAAGTATGTTAGTTACCATGAGTGTTGTTTTGTTTTTTTCGCTTATTATTTAAAAGAAAATCTAATTTACTTTTTTTTTGTTTTTGCTTTTGATCTTGCATTAGTTTCCAACAGTATATTTTAATTATAATACTTTTTTAAATAAGTGCAGAGCAAACTACAGGTAAGTCCTAATAAAGAACAAAAAGTTAGCAATTAGGGAGAAAGAGCATTGAGTTTTTAAAAATTATACACAATACTAGGTACTCTATATACTATATAGGTACTATACTAGGTACTCAATACTATATACTCTTAAATATATCATATTTTTCTTGAACCTTTGTTTGTTTGTTTGTAGTTAAGCACAAAGCTACACAGTGGGCTATCTGTGCTCTGCCCACCACGAGTATCGAAACCCGGTTTCTAGCGTTGTAAATTCGCAGACATACCACTGTGCCACTTGGGAAGGGGCTTCTTGGACCTTTAAAACTGTTATTGCTCTGTTTAGTCGTTGCAACTTTGTACTGTAAACAAGCGCGGTTACATTTTTAACCAATCAAGTTAAAAGATTTGAAGAAAAAAAAATATTGTTAGGGGAATAGTTGCTATGGTGATGTAAAATGTTAATGTTTGTTTTATCTAAATATTTCATACACATGTTCGGTGGAACTACCTTCTGCTGTACTTTATCAAGCTAGGTCTTGGTGCAGTTTTCAGCTTTTAGTTTGTTTGTGTTTTCAACAATAATCATTAAAACTTGAAGTGTCGTAATTCAAATGTACTCTCCCATACATATTGGATACTATACATTGAAATAAAAAAGTGTTACGTTTGGTGCAAAATAATTAATTTTGTAGGATGTAATCGAACCCCAAATTTTAGTGTTGGAAATCTGTAAATTTACCGCAATCCCACCGGTGGACTTCTCCAAGCTCATAAAATCCTATTTTTTACTGTATTTAAAACTTTTCTTTATCACTGTTTTTTTTTTAAATTTTGAAAAAAATTACATGCATTCGTTTTTTTTATGAGTTGCCGTTTCCATAATTACAATAAAAGTTATATGAATATTTTATTTTTTGAAATTATTAATGCGATTATATTTTTATGATTTAATAGGGTATTAATGTTTCATGACAAACTGTAACCCAGCGTATTTCTAACGTTTAGAATATATGCTAAATTATTCGCGTTTAATATTAAAGAAAATATTTTATTACTCGTTCGTCAGCTAACTGAACTCAAGACATTTTAATACTAATCTTTAGCAAGTTTACAGGAACATTTAGTAAAAAATTTATGCTTTATATGAAAGAAATTTCTGGTAACGATTTTTAATAAACTACGTAATGGATTAAAAATGATGATTTATGAATTGTGTATATGATATACGTGATTTTATACTGAAGAAATGTTTAATGTCTAAGTTCTTTAATGGTACATGGATATATATATCATTCAGCAGAAAAAAACTTTTAAATAACTTTTTTCTGTTCGTGCTTCGTGAAAATTCGTGTCGAATCAGTCTATCATTATTTAAGTTAAATCTTCTTTGTTTTTTATTAGGACAGAGGTAAGACTATATCTATTCCATTTTTATATCGTTTAGCATGCTACTTCAATTTTAACTGAGAAATTTTTAATTTTTAATTTCGGTGTAATATAACAAGGTAAAACTTGAATAGTTGGTTGAAATAACACCCGATTAAATTACATCGCTTGAAATTCAATAAAGCTAATTTATTTATATAAATTTACAATTTTATAATTTCTTTTGAAGACGTGCCAAGCGCGCCCGGCCCAAAGGTTAGCGTATATTGGACTGTGGATTTATGATTACGCGGTTCGCGTCCCGTTACCATCAAAAACGAAATCGCACTTTGGGGCCGCGGACGTAATATAAAGGTGGTGGTCGTATCTAATTATATGAGTTGATAAGAGTAGCCCAAGAGTCGGTGGTGGGTGGTGTTGACTAGCTACCTTCCCTATAGTCTATTACTTCCAAATTAATGATAACTAAAGCGAAGATAACTATCGTATTGCATTAAGAGAAATTCTGCAAAACAAACAAACAAAGAAAACTTTTTAAGAATGAAACAAATGGATGTGCCTAAACACGTTTTGGAATAGAATGCATCACATAATATTAACTCTCCGAATCACCAATGGGAATCAGTATTACTGAAGAAATATAACCGATTTTTATTCCACGTCTTTGCTCTCCTAACAATTATTTTACGCCAAAATAATTCACTCTACTTCTTTGTCCTTCATTAAAATCTCAGTGTTAGAGGTTGTTGAATAATGAATTATCATAATTTACTTTAATTTAGTTGTTAAAATATCTTCCGAAAGGTTGTGATACTTTTGATAATTCACTTTAAACATTAAAATAAATGTAACTAAAACTTCATGACTTTTAAACTGTATGCGCTACTGGCGTTATGTTTGTGTTTACGCATGTATCTCTTTTTTTAAAGTTGGGGGAGTCATCTGTGAAGATTATAAAGTTTCATTCTGATTACTTCGGTTTGAATGCCTTACTTTTTCCATCCACATTGGAAGTAAATGTTTAATGTATGTATTTGTTCAAGTATGTGTATATGTATTCTTTCCGAATGCTAATTATATGTAAGTACGTATACACATATATACATCTGTTTTATGAACGGAGTTCAAAGTGTTTATTCACATATCTTATCTTTAAAATTTCTTAGAAATATCAAGTTACACATACATACTTAAACTGAAATATCAAGTCCTACTTAAAACAAATTTTGGCTATATATATATATTGCTTTAGTCAAACATTTGACCTCTGAACTATACATACTTTTTGGACATCGAAAAGATACAAAAAAGAAGAAACAACGTGCCTTTTAGTTGAAACTTAACATAGCTTATAATCTTTGGTGGTTTTATGTTATAACAGTTTTATAAAAAAGAAGCCCCCCAATGGCACTGCGGCATGTCTGCGAGTTACAACGCTAAAAACGGGGTTTCGATAGCCGTAGCACAGATAGCCCATTGTTTAGCTTTGTTCTTAACTTAAAACAAACAAACAAAAAACATGTGAAAAGATATTTTCTGAATAGTGGAAAAAATTAATCGTAGAATCTATTAGTTAAAGGATCAAAAAACTCAATAAAAGATAAATAACAGATCTGACAGTCATAATTACGTCCGACATCATAATTTCCTTTGTAACAAGTCTTTGCGATAATTTCCGCTGTAACAAGTCTTTGCGATGATTTCCGTTGTAACAAGTCTTTGCGGTAATTTCCGATGTAACAAGTCTTTGCGATGATTTCGTTTTAAAAAGTTTTTGCGAAGGACTGAGAAATCAGTCTTAGAACACACATCTTATCAAACTTTTCACAGATCCTTCACTGCACGTGTACGTCTGCTTCCAAGACCACGTTTTAGCAAATCAGAGAAAATCCAGTGGAGCTGCATCGGGAGACTTGACAAGTCTGTGATCGGAATAGTATTACAGTTTCTATGGCTGTGTTTTTGTTGTTGTTCTATTTCCAGAAAAAAAGTAATAGCTTATGAGGCATGACTGGAAGTTTGTAAACTTTTGGTATCTGTGAGGGTTCGTTAGCTTCAAATATTTGCTTATTGTCTTGTAACATTCATCGCAATCACTTTTTTTGGGTTGGAGAATTTTCTTTCATTTTGCGGATTGGTTGGCTTGAGGTTTGGTTTAGAAGCTTGTTGCTGTCCTAAACGTTCTGCAGTATGCTTAAATTTCCATGTTGAAGATTCCTTTTCTTGAAATGTTGCGTCCTTTGGCCTTGCTTCTTTTAATATTCAATTTCCATGTTGAAGATTCCATTTGTTGAAATGTTGCGTCCTTTGGCCGTGCTTCTTTTAATATTCAATTTCCATGTTGAAGATTCCATTTGTTGAAATGTTGCGTCCTTTGGCCGTGCTTCTTTTAATATTTAATTTCCATGTTGAAGATCCCATTTGTTGAAATGTTGCGTCCTTTGGCCGTGCTTCTTTTAATATTTAATTTCCATGTTGAAGATCCCATTTGTTGAAATGTTGCGTCCTTTGGCCGTGCTTCTTTTAATATTCTCGCTATGTGAATTATTCTTCCGAGAATGGGCTGTGACTTGTTTCGAGCCATAAATCTAGAATTACACTGTCGAATGGTCAAACATACGCTGTGAATTAAATCTATGGGTGCTGAGCACGTCTTTTGTAGCGCCACGCATCGTACTCATGGCAATTACGATAACACCCAACGGTATTAGCATATAAAATAATCTTTGTAAAGTGTAATTAACCCTACTGTACACTTCAAGAAGAAATTAATGCTGAAACTCAAAGTATTTTATGTCTTCCAATTATATCATTAAACAAATTAAAGTAAAGAGTAAAAATAATGGTGAAAACCAAGGCGCATGACACCCAATTAAAATATGTTTTATCATAATTAGGCAGTTTCTTGAATGTTTCATAGAAAAAACTAACACAATAACAATTTTCGGATATTTTAAATTGTGGGTTACTCTTGTTGATAGAGATTGAAAAATTCTGACGGAAGTCTTCTACCTGACCTGATTAAGTGGAGAACCTGATTGTTATGAGCCCCCTGATGTTTTACAGCCATGAGTAAGTAGAGCCTCTTGATAGGGTTTCCAAGAGCATTGACGATTTGTGAGAATATTCTGATGAGCATCACCTTTTTGGTTATAATTTAGCTTATCAGACCAAGTTCTATTGCCATTTTTTTTCAAATTCATTTAAAAATTTCTGTGTGATATTGTTCTTTGCAACTTGATTATACGTCATTCTCTTGGGTGTTTTAATCATGAGCTAAAAGAATCAAGTCTAGCTTATTTTCTGTGTCCATTCTTAAGAGTTTAAAACACTGCTTGAGGGAGGTTTGAATGGTTTCTTTGTGTGCTTTTATTTCAGTGCTCTAACTGTCAGTTCCTTAGACGTTTTAAAGGATTTTTTTTCAGTGTTTTTTCTGAACTACTTCCCTTTTAGTTATATTGGCGAGTTAAACAAATTAATTGAAATGTATATAATAATAATTTGTCCGAAGGCTTTCATTGTAGTCTTGGCTAAAGTAAAATTATAGAAAACTAATAATTATATGAGGATATTCAGTAGGCATTGTGCTTAATGACCAACTATATAATTTATTTTGAACTATTGAAATTTTTGTTTTGATTTATTATGGTTTTAATTTACGTCAATCATCGTTCCATGTTACACCAACTGAAGGTGTGTACAAAATATTTTCTACAATTTATGAAAAACCAGTTTTTCATGTCAGTATTTTATAGAGCGACGTTCATTTTATCATATATTTCAATCAGCGCAGTGCTTCAAAAACAAAAATATAGTCTATGTTGGTGTAAGTAATATTTTCGCCTGTTTCCTCCAATGGAAGTCAGTTATCTCAACGAAATAATTACTAGTGGTCTTTTGTTTCTTCCTGATGAATGTTTAAATCTAGTGATTTGATTCCCTTAACAAAGCATGATTCTGACCCGTCTGTCATTTTATGTATTTACAAAGAGATAAGTAAGTGTGTTTTTAATGTTGTTTTGCTGGTTGCAGTGTGAGGTACGGTATATGAACAATTTTTTAAATCGTACTTTGTTAAAATAAAAACAACAGACGTATTGTAGATCGTTTGAAGTTTGTGATAAGACGTAATTATTTAGCAATTTTAACGTGAATTATTTGATGAAACCATTCGATCTCTGTATCATGTCAACAAAAGAATTCAAGAAGGGATCATTTAAATTTTCTGTTCTTGCTGTTAGTCATAACTAGCTGCATTAGTGCACGCAATATGAATTCGAAAAGACAGAAATCCTCTAGTGTACGATTACTTGATTTGACCTCGTTTGAAATTGTGAAATAATAGTAATTTTGATAAATCAGTTGCTCTTAGGTTTTAGGGTTTTAATAACTCATTTTTCATTATAAAACATTTATCGATGATTATCTTCATTTTCAAAACTTGTTTGCTAAATTATTGTACATATTATAATAATACAAATTGTAGTTAGTAAATAAGTGTGTATAAATAATGTAATGATGAGAAAAAATGGATTTAATAAAATACAATTTTGGGCAGAAAGTTTATATGCAAACTTATTATCACAAAAAATGTATATGAAATAAAATGTATATGAAATCTCAGTTTAGTTTCATTTCCGATGTATTGGAAAAGCTAAAAAAGAAGGTGAAGTTATACTTATTCTTATGAAAAACTGGAACCAGAAAAAATCAAACTTCTAACAAACGAAGAGACAGAGAGAGAGAGAAAGGCAAAATCTGAAAAGAAAAATAAAGGTTAGGAAGGTTAGGAATAGTGTAAAATGGAGGGCACAGTGAAACATTTTTAGAAAACGTTGTCTTTAAAACTTTTTTGAGCACCAAGACCTTCAGTTTTTTTTTCATAGATATTAGTTTATGTTTTAACTTTTAAAACAAAGCTGCACAGTGGGCTATCTACGCTGCTCGGCCACAGGGGTCAAATTCCGAATTCTAGTGTTATAAGCCATGAAGCTAATCGCTAAACTACCGTATGACGTTGGTAAATAACTATATTTGATGCTAATGAAATAAATAAGATAAGCTAAAGTTGTCAGAGGAGGCTTCAGTTCAGTACAGTTTGTCGTCGTTCATATATTTAAATGCTTTTAAATGGAATCTTCTTTACATAGATCATTGTGACCAATTTCCTAGTCATAATTGGCTTTCAGTTAGGGAAAAAGGCGCTGAATTTGTTTTAAAATGAATAAATAGAGCACATGTGAAGACACGTCGAGCGAGAAGAAACTGTAAGTTGCACTACCGACTAATATACTTGAAGAATCGATATATTTAAAAGAGTTGTTATGAAATAAATCTTCGTACATATATAAATGACATTACCAATAAACTTAGTGCGAAATAAAGTACGTTTATTGCTGAATGTTGACTACACAAACACTTTTGTGGTAGTTCCACTAATTGGCTTTTGGTTGAATATCTCGTTAAGAAAATAATACTATTTATATTTGTCATCTGATATTCTATAGTCACTTGTGGAAAAAAACTGATCCATTATTTGAGTTTTGTTTAAATATCTCGTGAAGAAAAAATACTATTTATATTTGTCATCTGAGGTTCTATAGTCATTTGTGGAAAAAACTGATCCATTATTTGAGTTTTGTTTAAATATCTCGTGAAGAAAAAATACTATTTATATTTGTCATCTGAGGTTATATAGTCATTTGTGGAAAAAACTGATCCATTATTTGAGTTTTGTTTAAATATCTCGTGAAGAAAAAATACTATTTATATTTGTCATCTGAGGTTCTATGGTCATTTGTGGAAAAAACTGATCCATTATTTGAGTTTTGGTTGAATATATCATGAAGAAAATAATACTATTTATAATTGTCATCTGAGGTTCTATGGTCATTTGTAGAAAAAACTGATCCATTATTTGAGTTTTGTTTAAATATCTCGTGAAGAAAAAATACCATTTATATTTGTCATCTGAGGTTCTATAGTCATTTGTGGAAAAAACTGATCCATTATTTGAGTTTTGGTTGAATATCTCATAAAGAAAATAATACTATTTATAATTGTCAACTGTTATTCTATAGTCATTTGTGGAAAAAAACTGATCCATTATTTGAGTTTTGTTTAAATATCTCGTGAAGAAAAAATACTATTTATATTTGTCATTCGAGGTTCTATAGTCATTTGTGAAAATAACTAATCCATTATTTGAGTTTTGGTTGAATATCTCATGAAGAAAATAATACTATTTATAATTGTCATCTGAGGTTCTATAGTCACTTGTAGAAAAAACAGTTCTTTTTCTTCAGACTTTATATACTGTTATATAAACCAGCAGTGCTTTTTGATATTTGAATGTTTTAAAATCTCACTTGCCTCTGACTTCATTGATTTTTTTTGTTTAAAATTACTGTAGTTACGTATGAAAAAAAGTCAGTTTTGGTTACTTTGATTCGTTGTTTATTGATTAATATTCTAGATGCTAAAAATAAAATACAAATAAAAAATGAAGCTACATTCCAGCATTTAAATTAGCTGTGATTGTTTTTATATATGTGTTAAAAAGAACGCTATGGAGTTTCTGTGAAGGGTTAAATGTTGTGACTGCGGTAAGAAAAAAAAACAACACTAGCTACGTTTTTACAAGAATAAATATGTTAGTTTACAGCGGATGTATTTAAGTTGAGCTTTACACTGTTTTTCATTTAATTAAAGCTGATATACATAATGAACGGTATAAAAAGCTCGAGTGGTTATGAATACAACCATAGAACCACAAGTGGTCGTTTGTCACATGGTTGATGGAGCTTAGACTATTTATCCACCATGTGGCGAAAATTCAGTGACCAAGTCGGGCCTAACAGGTGGCTAGAATTTAGACACAACGACGTGTAATAATTAATCTTCATTCTTTCAGTAATAGGGCCGAGAGAAAAGAGCCTGTACATTGCTAAGACTTGCAGGGCCTCAAAATCTGGAACTCAGCCAACCAGTTGTTGAGTTGGGTGAAGGGTTGCGTTAGCTGCACGTGGGCGCGTGGGGAGTGCGAGAGACAGAGTTCAAGGTTCCTTCCTTGTACCTATCAATCCAGCGGTATATCCTCTTCTCTCTACCCAGTCTCTATCGCTAAGAGTTCGCGCCAACTAGAGCCCCTTGTGGCACACACACGCACTAGATTCCAGCCCGCTTTGCACATCTACATACCCTAAGAAACAGTACGTGGCACTTAACTCTCCCTTATTCGAGGCAGGCGAACACCATTTCAAGGACGTCTGGTATTAGATTAGCTCTCTATTTGCTCGGAAAGAAAGGGTGGCAGTAACACCAACCATGGGGCAAGACCTAGTCTGTGCGGCCTCAAGTGTTGGAAAACCCGAAGGTCTGGTACTCTGCTAAATTTGTAAAAGGTGCCGATTATCGCAACCAGCGACCACTAGAAATATCGCAATTCTGTGTGAGCAATAAGCATGTTTGATGAAAATTTATAGCAGTTGCTATAATTCTTGGTTATGATGAACAAGGCGATATATGATTTGGCCTCGTCTGTAAAAGAAAGTGACTTAAATTAATGGTAGAATGACATCATATGATTCAGTTTGATTTGTTTTATATAGAAGGCATAATATTCTGTATGTCAAAGTATTTTCAAATTTCCCGATGTGTTGAAAGTTATGAGGGTTTTCTGTGTGAAACGTTTTAACATATGCAAATTGCAAATCTTCTGTCGCATTTACAAGACGCAGCTTATTAGAAAAAATTAACGTGACAGATGTATGGAATTGAAAGAAGAATGTATCATTAATCTGCCATTCATTGGATACAAAGAATTTTAAAATCTTTGTTCAGTTCACACACACCATCTTTAAACTTTGTTATCACCTGTCATAACAAGTTTTTTCCTTGAAAATTATTTGATTTGTAAAAAACTTAGTTTTACTTTTGATGGTATTAGATCGCACTTTTCTTATATGTGGCAGGGAAAATTGTCTTAATACAGTTCTGGGAAGTCAAGAAATAACTTTCAGATTTTTTCTTTGTTTGTTTGTTGTTAAACATGCTACACAATATACTATCTGTGCTCTGCCCATCATGGGTATCAGACTTGCCGCTGAGCTACCGTGGGCAAACCCTTCTGAATCCAAGTTAATTGAATGCCGGCGCTTTGTACTTTAGTTTGAACTTACGTCTTTCTACTGTAGTTTTCAGGAAAACTTTAGCTCAATGGCATGGAGTAGACCATGCCAACTAGTCATACATGTTTTTTTGAAATTGTAGTTGAATTTAGGATTGTATTTTCTTCTCAGCGCCCTAAGCCTAATTAGTTCTTTCTTAAGATTTGCAACTTTGGGTCTGTGGTTGAATTGAAAATGTTTTAAAACTGTTGTTTGTTTTTTGATAGCGTTTAGTTATGGTTCTGCATATGATTTACATGATTATTTACAATACAACTCCAGTTTGACTAACACTAGAAAGCATAAAGGTTAATGATAAACAATAATGATAAATCACCCGAATGACCTACCTACCTCCAATAAGACCACTTACAAACGTTTGGCTGAAAGTTGACCACATATTGTCTCCCTTACAACACACACACGTACGCATAAATATATATGTGTGTGTCTTTATGGCCTAGTGGTTATCGTTTCAAACTATGCCAGAGCCAGAGTTCGAGACGTGCTGCCGCAAACCATGCACCGCACTTTCAACTGTGAGTGCGTTATAAAAGTGACAGTCAATGCCGTTATTCGTTTCAAAGAGCTGTACACTAGTTCAAAACTAGAGATAGCTATATCTGACTTCTAGGGGTCTCTGACATACTGGTTTAGCCCACTTTGCATAATGTACCGTTCGTGTTGAAAATAAAATAAAATTTCTCTTTCTTTCAGAAGCAACGTTTAATCGGTAAAATTAAACGAAAACTTGTTGAAAAGGAGTATGAAGTCACTTCCACCAAGGGAAATTCAGCTTTTACTCCTGTTTAAAATGGCAATCATTTCTTGCATTAACTTGTAGAAAAAAAAATACGCTTCATAAAAATAATTTATCATGCTTTGCGAACATGTTTCTGCACAAAGTAGTGCCAAAAGTATATTGCTAAGTTTTTTGGAAGAATACTGGTTTCCAGGGTTGCAACAAATTCCTATCATCATAATTCTAAGGAATTTGTCTCTAGGACACTCTGTCATTTTACAAATATACAGTTAAATTCTTGCTTAATCTTTGTGTATATATATAGGTAATTCTCGATAAATGATAAGAGTTATGGTAGTTCGGTGTAGTACGAAAAAGAAATTATAATGAGTTATGGTAGTTCGATGTAGTACGTGTACTACGAAAAAGAAATTATAATGAGTTATGGTAGTTCGATGCAGTACGTGTAGTACGAAAAAGAAATTATAATGAGTTATGGTAGTTCGATGTAGTACGTGTAGTACGAAAATAAAATTGTAATGAGTTATGGTAGTTCGATGTAGTACGTGTAGTACGAAACAGAAATTATAATGCACTTGTTCTATCTATTTTAAACAGAATTACCAATAGTAATGGTTTCATGACAATTAATGTAACACAAAAGTTAGTGAAGTTTTGATACATCACTTGTATGCCCACGTTTATGTGTGCAGCTTTATATTAATAGGGGAGAATTTTATATCAACCAAGCCTACACGAAACGACAGGGTTAGCGTAGATTGGTAATACGGTGGTGAAAGGTGTCATGTAGAGATTGACTTTGTAGGTACTGTGCGAAAATATATATGCATTAAATTCTAATAAAGTATATACGTTGGTTTGGGATTATTGCGATTATTTTTTCTTGTGTTATTTTAACAGCATTAAGTTAGAAATCATATAAACGTACTGATACGTATTTACTTTAATTTTTAATAGCATTTTCATTATGCCAGACTGTTTAGATTCAGTGCCATATAGAAACAGCTTCACCAGAAGTGAATACAACAATGATTAAAACATGTAGAATCAAAATAAGTTGTTGAAACACAATATAATTTCCTTATAAAGGTGTAACTCTCACTACAAAGAACGTAGCTTATTTTGAACCTAAACAACGCTGTTAGAATTAATAACCCCCACCCAGACATCCACAGTTTTTGCCAGACTTTTTATTGATCGATGGCTGTCTAGGTGCTGTAGGCTCGTGCCTGAGCTCGTGCTTGTCTGGGCAAGTAGTCGCCATTGCATCTCCACAGTAACAGACCCCCACTAGTCAATATATTCCAATCTGTTTCGATCATTACAAAAGCTGATTCTAGGTAGCTAGGTTGGTGTGTTCTGTAACTTTGGATAGAGGATGGAGCAACTCCTAAGTTCTTGAGACGGAAGTACAATTACATCTGTAGAAACTTTTAACACTTCCGAGTTAAATAACAATAATAATGAAGACAAAGCTTTAATTACTTTTCGTGATGGTTAAAACTGTCACTTTTACTGAATTGAACTTTCATAGTGATGTGTAGTAGCGATTGAAAAGTGCTTTATTTCTGTTATTTTGTCGAACTGTTCGTGTGTCTTACCTGTTTTATTATAGCCAACTGACGTGTTTAAAGACTTAGTACGAGGTCGCAAGTGATTAGTAAGTCACAATCTGAAGTGGTCAGTCTTGACAAACTATATCAATTGAATTATCAGACTTTGATATTTTTTTCACCGTGTTTTCTAATCTCTATTGCAACTAGTTTAACTTGTTATGTGATTTTTACACAGAATCGAATACTTCAAGTTAATAATATAAAGTTACCGATGTTTTGTTTTTATTTCCGTATTATTTTTGCTATTGGAGATCTTAATTTTGTACTGACTTTCGACATTAGCTGAGCATAGTTGGACTTTTTGTTTAAGGTTACGATAAAAAAATGCAATCATTCAAAAACCTAAAAAATATAGTAGTAATCAAGCCGCTATATATATATATCATCAGTCTTCATGGATAACAATTGTTATGGTATAATTGATATTAAACAAATGAGTTGTAATTATTATAAACTTTACTCAACTCGTTTACAAATGCTGTTCTTAGATAAGAATTAATACACAACATTATTTATTTTATTTCAACACTGTTTAGGCTGATAAAGTTTGCGCATACAAATGTGTATTTTCATTGGTTGTGCATAAAACTTTCTTCTTACCAAAGATATATCTGAGCTAGACATTTATTACAAAAAGTACAACATACGAAAACTTATTTTTTAAAGTAATTGAGGATTTAATGTACAGTACAGGTTTTATGTTTATTTGTTTCAGAAGTTTGCGCAAACCCACTAAGCGACTATCAGAGTACAGCTGTCCCTAATTTTCATCTGATAGACTAGAGGGAAGGCAACTAGTTAACAGCACCCACCGTCAACTCTTGGAATACTTTTGTATGGTGAAAAATTGGATTTGACCGTCACTTTCGTAGTGCACCCACAGACACAAAGAGCAGAGCGCGTTCTAGCGGCAACGAGTCACGAACCATAAATCTTCGAATTCATTGTCCAGGCACTCTACTAGAGCACGCCTGGCCCATCGTACTAGTTGTAGTGTTTTCTCAGTTGATACTGTGAGAGAAGCGAGGAATGTCCTGTGGTTCTTTTTCATTTAATTTGTATTTCTTGAATATGTAACTATTTTTCAGTTATAAGATACCTGACTTTCGGGATGTTTATTTTGAAATTGACAGATGACCTACGAATTTATTGGGAACAATATTATGATAATTTATTGAAAATATGCAAATAATTATAAAATTTCAAACCTTTCAAGTGTGTGATAATCGACCCATCACACATACACGCTAATATTGTTTGCAATTACTCTATAACATTTTAGAAAGCAAGTGTTCTAAATTAAAAACACCCTGGCTAAATGCGACGTTTAGACATCATCAAAACACTACAGTCAGACGCCTGTCGGTCAAAACTAAAACAAGCAATTATTACAGACAGTCAAAAATATTCATACTTCAGAAAGAATAAAACTTTTACTAAGAAGCACTTATACTCCCGCATAACCTTATACCTGAAGATCACGTATTTCAGACGATATCCTAAAGTATAATATTAATGAGAACTTCTGAGTGAAAGTAATGTATGGGCTTTAAAAAACGAATAAACCAAATACGTATCTATAATATGAGGTGAATGTGTATCTAATCCTTGTTCACTTGAAGTTGTTTTTCAATCTTGTAACTTTGTAAAATGTTTACTAATTGACATTTGTAACTAAGTACAACTTCGATAATAGATAAAAAAAGAACAATTGAGTCTTAAATATAATTATTTCAAAGCGGAATACTTTCCAGCCAGCACACTTTCTAAGAACAAGAGTTGGAACAATTCGAGAATTGTGTTTTAAAATGATAAAACCTTTATTCAAGGTTTAATCAAACTCGCTAATGCGATTATAACATCACTCTTAAGTTCATGAAAACAAATTGTTAACTCTACGAGTAATCGATGACTACTGACGTCTTAAGGCACATGTAAACAGGTTGGATCGTGTTACGTATAGATCAAACTTGACGGTACAGTATAAACTGGGAATTAGAAATTAATCTATTTTGAAATAAATATAAATGCATTTGGCTAGCACGATAGTTGACCAACAAGTTCAAGATATGTTCCCGAAATATCCCCGAGGAAATGGGTGGCAAGTGTACATATAACTGTTGTGTGTGAGCATATTGATAAAGTAGTTAACCAAAGACTAAGTTTCACAAATAAAACAGTTATTTGCGTATGAACAAAATTATGAAAGAAGAAACAAGCAAACACGCACACAAAAAAAATATAAAATAAAGTCCTTGTTATCGGTGAAATTCAAGATGAACAGCAAAATATTTATTAGATTAGTTTGCAGTCTACAAAAAATAATATATATATATATATATAAATTCTACCAGTCAGGCACACCTGAGCACTGTGAAGTTCAGAGATAATCTTCTGTTAAAGTCTTAACTGACCTGACAGGATTGTCAGCTCTGATGCTTGAGCCATTCGCAATCAGACGAACCTAGATAATAACAGTGCTACCTACCGTGACTACTTGGTCAGCAACCGCTTAATGATTATCACGGCCCAATATACTAGTGAAAAGAGAGAGACAGTCTAGACTGGCAACAACTATAAAGGTGACACACCTGGAGTTACGTTTTTTCTTACGCATTTACAATACACTGCTGGATGTAGCCCATGTCACATAATTCTCGTATTTCCTGATATTTCACAAATATCGCCCTAGTCTTTCTGTCCCATATACTCTAATATATCGTCTCTTCGTCTTTTCTTTGGTCTGGCGTGGCCTGGTGGTTAAGGCATTAGACTCGCAATCTGCGGGTCGCGCGTTCGAATCCCCATCTCTGGAAATGCTAGCCCTTTCAGCTGTGGGAGAGTTGCAATAGGACGGTCAGTTCCGCTATTCGTTGGTAAAAGAGTAGCTCAAGAATTGACGGTGGGTGGTGTGACCCTGGTCTATCACAACTAAATTAGGGATCGCTAGCGAAATTCAAACAAACAAACTCTTTGTTTCTTCTTTTGTCGTCCCCTCTTTCTTGCTTTTGATTACCACTCTGTTATCCTCTTTGTCTATCTATTGCCATTTCTTCTTGATATGTCAGTACGCCCCCATTTCCGTTCCTTTAATGTTTTTAATATGTCTGTACACTAGTTCTTTTTCTTATAGTTGTATGTTTGATTTTGTATTTTAGTGAAACGCCCAACATTGATCTTTGCATTGCTCATTGTGTTGTTTGTAGTTTGTTTTCCATTTCTTTTAGTGGTAACTCATGTTTTTGATGCATTTTGCATTGTTGGTAGTATGCACATTTTAACTAGTTTTGGTTTTAAAGGCATAGGCATATTATGGTCCAAAAATACTCCATCTTGCTTTCATTCTAAGGCCTATATCTTCTCTTGTGTTGTTCTCCATCTTAAGGGTGTTGCCTATAGATATTTGGATTCATTAATATTTCGATAGTGACTCTCTGAATTCTTATTTCTTCGTTTGTAATAATATTTATAATGTATTTGGATTTTCCTGTATGTATTTTCAGTCCTTTATTTAAACTTTCTGAGTTTAATCTGTTGATTTGATCCTCTACATCTTTCTCATCGTTAGTGCTACATTGTCTGCAAATTTCAAGTCTGTCAACTTTTCCTCATTGATAAAAAAAATCATTTTCTTTCCAAACACATATCCAGAGACTGTTGAAAACAGTTTTGGTAAGAAAGGGTCTCCTTGTGTAACTCCTTTGTCTTTTCTTATTATCTCAAACAATCCCTCTCTATATTTGTTCAGGCTGATGTATCTGTATATACATTCTCCAGGATCTGAACATATTCTTCTGTGGTGCCTGTTGTCGTTAGTGCAACAAAAAATGTTATTGCGTTTTCAAACACAGTCGAAAGCCTTCTCGTACTCTATAAAACCGTAGCACAGGTTTAGTTGATATTCATTTGTTAGTTGGCTAATGACTTGTAAACAGTCAGTTGTGGACTATTCTTTTCAAAACTCAGGTTGTTATGTAGGTTGGTTGGCATCCAAAACGTTCACTAGTCTAGCCAGAGTTACAAGTAATTGCGGATATTTTGGAAATAAAACATAATAAAAAAAAGTAAAACAGTACAAACAAATAAAAAGCTCTAACGTGAATTTTTCAAAGGTGCAGTCCATGGCCCAAACATACCACAATGTAAGAAAACAGGTTAGTACAGCTGCTGTTGCTGTTGTTTAGCGCAGAACTACACGATAAGCTATCTGTGCTCTGTCCACCGCAAATTTATTGCTGACCCGTCGAGGGATGAGATTTTAGTGCAAAATGTACCCTGATCCATATAGCTAGCGCAATAACAGATTTATAAACGTATAAAAGGAAATTATTTAATATATATAGATCTGTTTTTGCGAAACTACTTTATACTAAATTATAAGAGTGCTGAAACTTCGCAAAGAAGACTCAAAATTTTCTTTTTTGGAATTGTTATAGATTGGCTTTTGATAGTTTAAGCTCTCATATTCTGGGTTATAGAGGTATTTCTATCAATACTTCGCCTGAATTTTTTATAACAAGATGTATCACATTTGCACTGTTTTAATGCAGCAATCAGTAATACTACATTATCCAATTGATGCAGTCATCTAATTGGCTGGTCCCTTTTCATTCATATATTATAGTCTTAAGCCTTCATTGAGTCAGCTTCAATCTGTCAAAGTTTTCGCCAGTTCTTTTTCTTTGATTCATTTCTTTCTCGAAAACCTATTCATGTTCCGTGTGTCATTTCCTCTCAACACCTATATAAAATCACTACATTTTCGTTCACAACTTTATATTCGTTTACGTTTTTCGTTGAGCAGATTTTCATGTTTTCCATCTAAGCTCTTGTCTAGATTCCGGTATCCAACCTTCATCTATTCCTCTTCCCTATAGCTTCTCACTCTGTCGACCTTTGTCTCTCATTTGTCTCTTTTGGGAGACCAGCTACCACTTAAGCTTATCTTTATTATGCCTCTTTCTCATTCTCGTGCTTAATCTTTAGCTGATATACAGTGTCAGTTTCTTTACGTTGTTTCTGACATCCAGGTTACTGTTCTTTCTCCTTGACTGATATGCTACTGTCGCTTCAGTTAGTGCTCTTCTTTCAGAGTATCAGTCATCTTTAGGTTTCTTGCTTGTTTTACACTGTTCAAATAAGTTCCTCCACACATATAAACTGAACTGGAATCTCATCTCAAAAGTAAGATCTTTCTTGGTCATCTCTTACTTCAATCTTGTTATACGGAAGAGTGTAGTTTACACGAAAAGCACAAGTGATTCTAACAGTGATAAATGACGTATTTGGCTCAGTAGCGTTATCGTATGAAAATAAAAAACTAAGAGATGCTTACCAAATCATTCTTTGTAGTATTTAGTTTAACCTAGGGGTGCACTTTTTAAATATATGACCCCTCCCTATTGTTACTTCAATATCCGGAAAAGCAGAGAAAAAGAGGTAATGAAACTTCGCCATTGTTTATAAGAATGTTCATGTAAACATCCATAAATAACTGAATATCATATTGAGTAGTTTTAGCTGAAAAGTTATTGTTTAAATTTTAATCGGATTTAAAGTAGGTAGGTTGATATTTGTCTTTGTTTATAAAATTTAAGAGTAAAATTATTATGTTGAGCTGTAACTGAGCCAATTTTTCACTAACAACAACATCCGTAGGTATTGTGTTAATATTATAATTTGAGGGGTTTTGTTTGTTTCAGAATTTCGGGCAAAGCTACACAAGGGCTATTTGCGCATAACTATCCCTAATTTTGAGCTCATAAACTTGAGGGGATGCAGCTATTCAACAGTACCCACCGCCAACTGTTGGATTACTCTTGTTTGACCGTCACTCTTACAACCCACCGATGGATTCGCAGTCCGGGAGCACTAATCTCTATGCCATACCCTGCTCTCATCTGGGGGTATTACTCTTATAATAGTGAAGAACCTTAAGTCACTCAGCAACATCATTCGGATTTAACGTACCAATGTTATTATCTAGTACTACCAAGAAAATGTAATTCCACTGGGACGTTTTACCATAAAGCTGGCTTCTAAATGATAAGAACAACACAAAGATCCACAGGTTCTTATGAATAAAAACTGTTAGTTCTGTTACGTATTAGAATTTCAAATTGTCTGAAACCGAGCTAAATGATACTTTAAATTTAGAAATTAAATTATTCTTTAGATTTAGCAGTTAAGTGAAAGCCGATATATAGTCAGTTTATGATATTTGGCAACACGATTGATACACACAGTTTTCTTTTTTTAAAACACAAGTATGTTTTAATCTACACACAACAATACAATTTACAATAACAGTTCCACGTACAAATAGTTATTACGAACAATGATTTATATACAAAATTTTATAAACCTACAAGCAATATAAAGTATTCTTTCTAGTGTGGAATTTCTTCGATATTTTATCAAGGGTTCACGATGAGCGAGTTAATTACGAGTTCACGTAGGTACAATTCGCTTAACGGGAAGCTAGCTTTATCCATCATTATTCACCAGCCACACGCGCCGAGTTTTCCACGATGAATTTATATAATGTTTTCGTAAAAATACTAATGCCCGATGAGAATCCACTGAAGTTAAATGATTTATG